GAAATGTCGAAAAGTTCAAAGGTGTAGCAGTTATCAGAAATCTTGTAAGAACTGTACCTCTCAAACAAATTTTCACTCCTCTTTTGGCATTACTAGGCCGCTTTGTAGAGTTTTTCAAGTGTGCCTTCGGTGTCTCGGAAAGGATCACGTGGGCCCTTCCTCAGTATTGCCGTTGTTTCACGCGTACATATACGTGCTTTTAGTTGATTTGCATAGCACATGTCTGTATGCAGGGAACGAAAAAGAATTGGCGCTAAAGTTCACTTATGACGGTCCTTATAATTATTTATTTAAAACCAGGGAAATCTTGGAAAGCAGGGTTCTGGCGCGTTTATTATTATTATGATCACTGCACCTGAGCAACAATAACACGTCACAGTAAATATACAGCTGCACAGTTCATCTTGGTGAATATATTTCACAAATCTATTCATTTTAGATAGATAGACATTCAATAATAGAACCATCCACTCGTTGTAGAAGGATGCATTCTGTCAGATCATTTTTTTTATTTATTACGTGATATCCGCTTACTTTTTTCTTCAGTTGCTCCTGTTCCTGTTCCGGAGGAGAGTGTTCATGTGAAGATAGCGACCGTGAAAAGAAAGATGCGGATAAGGACTCTGAGAGTGCTCGTGACAAAGTGCATAAATCCTCTCGTCAGAGAGATCTGTGAGTTTCATCATCCATGCGCTTCATCATCCACCACTGACGTTTTCATTTCAGTCCCTTGGTAATTCTTACATTTTTCCCAGAGATCGAGGTGAACGAGAACGAAGCCGTAAAAGGAGCTGGTCCCGGGAAAGAGATGATGACAAAAGGGGACGTGTGAGGGACAGAGACAGGCATCGAGATTCCGATCGCAGAAGTAGCAAGTCCTGGGAACGGGACAGGATTAGAGATCGAAGGAGAACCAGGTATTCCGAATACTGTTCATCACACATCGTACGCCTCTCAGTTTCCCATTCAGGTCTCGAGATCGAAAAAAGAGCCGCAGTCGTTCTCGTGAAAAGAACAGAGATCGAAAAAGGTACGCCAGTAGTTTTTTCCACGTTTTTTTTTTCTATGCTATCGGTGTAATTATAAAAAGAAAGTCAGACCTAGTTAAAAGTTTATTTCACTGCTCATTGCAAATTCTCTCCTTGAAATGTGATTCTTCTTACCAAATGAATTGTAGCTCTTGGTGTTGCAGCGTATTTTGAACGCGATATCCCTACTACATATAAAGCTCCAAGTCACTGTCAATGTGTGCGGTTTGCCTATTGTCACGAAATTTTGTACTAGCTGAAGCCACCTGAAGAATCCTTATCTGGTTTGAGATGGGTGGGGCATAGGATGCATGCACGCACGTGAATGCCGCCCATAACGTGTGGGACATGTACCGAGATTTATGGAGCCGACGACAGAAATTTTGTATTTGATTTGAAACAGCGTAGAGACTGGAAAAAGGGGTCCAGATGCGCGTTCAGATGCTAAGTCGAGCAAGGGAAGTTCAATTGCATTGGGCGGGGCTTTCTCTTATGGTGTGCAGGTGGTGGTTTTCTAAAATAACCCGTAATTCGGTTGTGAGAGGACCTAAAAGCAGAAGGAATTAGTGTAGCAGAGCAAGGTCGAATACTTCTGCGCATTGGCGCATATTCTACGCCAATTCTTGGTAGGACTTGCCAAGAATTGGAGAGAGAAGTGATATAATGGCGATGTCTTTTTTAAATAATCACTATATTGGATCTCCAGGTTTGCTTGGATAGTTGAGAAAAGCTTGATGATGTTCGCGAAGAAGGGAAGGTTATATGCTATTTGGCTGATGCGTGCACCAGCCAAATATGGGCAGGGCTTGTCAGAAACCCTACAGTTGGAAAATAGAGAGCAGATCAAATGCTTTCGGTGCATCGGAACGAGCGCTGCTAAATTTCTGATGGACTGAGGGATCAGGGAAGCTGCCGGGACCAGAAAACGCTCATTGAAGGCCAGACACGGAGAGAACTCAATGATAATATAAATGTTGAAAACAATTTAGTCAGACACATTTTCAGGTCTTTTGGCTTGCTCCTTTGAAAAAAAAAAGATGCACTGAAAAGTATTTCGAGCACACAGTTTATTGAATGCGAAACAGGACTCGCATGAAGACAAGCACTTGCCTTGAAGAAGTGTGGCTATTGAGGGCTGCGTAGGTCCCACTCCGTTCTGCACATTCTGTATAATTGGAAGGACTTTCCTGGCAGACTCATTTTGAGCACCTCACATGCGAGAGAGAGCCCTGAGAGTTGCGGGGCTCTTTTCCCTCAATTACCCAGATAACTTTGTAGTGGCCCACGATCGTCTAGGACCTCGTGGAGCTCAACCAATTATGTTCCTGTGCAAAATTCATTTGATGTCGTCCATGTGGAAAGGTGCTACGAAGTTTAGTTTCGAATGTGCTCTTCAATTTTCAATTATGGAACTATTCGTTTTGATGTCAGCAAAGTGTGATTAGTTTCATTCATGTGAAGGAAGAGTGATCTTCGCATTGCCTCTTCTTCCCTTGTTACTGGAGTGTCGTATGGTGAGTTTGCAGCGTGAGCAGCCCGTTGGTATGTATTTAAAGCAACAGTCCAAGGAGGGTTTCAACCAATTCAATCCTGAGGTGTGGAAGCATGCCCCAGCCCAAGTAAAGTTCATAGGAACTGTCACTGAATTGAAAACTTACCTTTGAAATGCGTAGGAAGGGCTCGAACTTCTTCGAAAAGGGCGGGTCCACCGAGCCTCGGTGGAGCCGCCCCCTTGCTGCTGTGAAGAGCGCGGTGTTGATTTTGGTCGTTGCGGGACCGCTGGGTCTATTTGAGGTCGATCCTTTAAAGCAATCGATGTAGTGATGCCGACAACGCTGAATTTCTACATTTTTTCCTTCTACCTTCTACTTCAAAACATGAGACGATCCCATTATTGCGCCCCAGTTGCAATAGCTGGCAATAGTGCAAGTAGCCATTGTAGCTATTGCCAAGCATATTGCAATTGGGGCGCATTTACTGCGGGCATGTTCATACAACTCGTCCAACGAGCGTCTTCCTCCATTGCTAAGTGGCGAGGGGGAGCCCCTGTCTAAGTACCTGTTCGACGTCTTTTTTGAAACTTTTCTTTCATTATTGGTCAACTTTGCACCCACAACTTCATTATCGGTGGTTTTTGCCCGCGAATTTCGTTCTAAGGGGCAACGTACGGCGCACTGCGACGTCCGTTTCTAGTTGCACCAGCCACGTGTTATGCTGAAAAAGCCATCCCTAGGCAGATAAATCACAAGAAGGGGAGAGTGTAGTGATGAGACGAACTAACGCGTATGAGGCTTAAGAATGTATTCCTCCTACTTGATCCCTTTAATCGCTGGCGCGATCTCAACCGCAAGCGAAATTTGCCGATAAGGTTGCCGTAAGCATTTTCTGTAGGATGCTCTCGTCTGTATTTTAATTTTTTACCAATACTCTTCAGATTTTGTCATTGTTGCAATCAGGAAGAGTATAAGGTCACTGCTTGACAAACAGTTGCGGAGTATTCTAAAGTCGCTTTTAGCTGTCTGGGTACCCCCAGGAGGCCCGTCGCGCGACAAGAAGGCGAGTCAGCGGACGAGTTCCGCGCGTACTGTAGGGATTTCGCGTCAAGTTAAATAGAATGTTCCATTGTACGTCTTACATCGCTCACGCGCTGCGACTCGTCCGCGACTCTGCCTTCTTGCCGCGCGACGGGCCTCCTGGGGCGCGTAAGGTATGCTTCCACGAAGGGTTAGGGTACGAAAGTTCTTGCAATGAGTTAGTCCAAGGGCGGTATTCAATCCTTCCCCCAGGGGGATATATCCCCCTACTCTGATTCAATCCTCTGGGGGGACAAAAAAGGGTTGCGTCATAGGACCTCGCATACCTCTGTGTTTCTACCTGCCAGACAGTTAGAGCAGCGCGACCCCTCAGGGGAAAGAGTGCTTCATCAGTGGAGGGTAGTAGCGCTGCTCTAACTGTCTGGCAGGTAGAAACACAGAGGTATGCTAGGTCCTATGACGCAACCCTTTTTTGTCCCCCCAGAGGATTGAATCAGATCATTACGGGCCTTGTGGTACCGCTGTCTGGTGGTTCTGGTTTTGGTTTTTTTCTCAAATGCATGGGGTCGCTGAGTCAGAGTTAAAATCGTTTTCTATGAATTTTATTTATTTAACATATCTATTGTCAAATTGTTCCTCACATCGTATGACTTTTATTGGGAACTGCCCGTAAATAGTCGTAATCCTTCTATTTTATAAAGCGCTAACTTTGTGTGTCGGTTTGTATGTCTGTATGTGTGTATGTGTGTATGTATGTATGTATGTGTGTCCGTCCGCAAAATGAAGTGAGTGAGAAGGAAGCTCATGGGATAAACAAACCGCTAACAAATCGGGTAGCTTACAGGATTTGAGATATCAATGTTTTGTAGCAGGATAGTTGTGATAACACTCTTAGGGCTATATAAACACCTGCTTAGCACACTTCCGTTCATTCCACATGGTGCTGCAGTGGCAGCTGGAGGGCAGTGGAGAGAGGAAGGGAGGATGAGGAAGGGAAGCGAAAAATCTACCGTCATATCATGATTGTGTCCCTTCTACTGTATGAAACACCATTGTGTTGCATACGCGTCACTTCCAGGAGGTGTTGGTGTCACAGGAGGAAGGGACCATAGCGGAGGATAGAAAGCTTGCGCAGGAAAGGAAGGTCCCGGCGGTTGACGGGGGACTAATCTGGTATAAATAAAGATGAATTAATAAAAATGAAAAGTTGATTTAGTTTTTCTAGTTCACTTGGTTTTAGTCCAAAGTTCGATTTCGCCTTCGGTAATACAATTACTAACTTCCAGGAGTAGATCTCGAGAATCGTCGCAGGTAGCCTTCTCCAAATCATGCCCAGGAAGTTTTCAAATGCAAAAACTTTGGTTCGCTTTGAGAAATGTTTGTTCTGTTTGTTATCTGTAATGCCTCGGTGGATTGTTTCTGAAATGTTGCTATGTTCGTTCAAGTTGCTGACACTGCTTCGTCTTGAAGAATCATTTTTCATTATGGTTTTTTGTTCTTCGTGATAATTTTGTTGTGTTAACAAATTTTGAAGAGATACGGTGTTGGAGAATGACGAATGATTGTTTTATCAATCTACCTTGTTATCTGAAGATTATTCATTATCTGTTGGTTATTCGTAACTGGTTGGTGCACAACTGTGTTTACGTTTAGGTGAGAACCAATGGCCAATCTCGAGTTCCACCGTAAGTTTTTCTTATACCTCATAGCACTTTTCGCTGAGTCTGAGCCTGAACTTTGAACTTCTACTTTCTTGAAATTTTACTTATGTTCTCTCGCTTCAGCATTCCAAGATGGCTTCTCTATCAATCCACGAATACACAGGGGTTTACTGGAAGTATTGGAGATCAGAATCGGGTTCGTCTCAGATTTGTAATTTCGTGTTTGTTCTTACCCGATTTTTTGTTTGGGTGTAAGTTTTTTTTTCTTGAATATTTTGATACAAGAGTATTCAAGGTATCATCCTTTAGCGCGTCGTTTACCAATGTACCATTAACTACTGATGGAAAATAATTCATCTGAAGCGCAATAAAACACTCGTTATGGCCTGAGCGCATGACGCCGCGCACATAATACAATGACATTTATGAAGCTAGATGCAGGCAACATTCACTTCAGCTCACTACGATCGCTCAAAGTCACCTTTGTGTTTTCGTGTGTCCGAGTATTTTTGGATCCCTCTCTATCGTTCTTTTGTTCAGTTTTTAGCCGGTCTTGAGATTAACTTCCAACATGCTTCAATACGTAATTGTTTATGGGGTACTTCCGCCTAGCTAGAAGGCTCTGTCTTTTGCTCCAGAGACCGTCGCTCATATCTATTTGCTCACTTCTTCTCCTAATCTCTAGCTCTCCTGAAACCTCCGGCTTTTTTGATTTATGGTCGGGGATTGCCCCTTCAACGCACGTCATGACGGCATCCCATGCTCTCTAGATGAAACGTGTATCTCACCCAGAGTTCTAGCCTCTCCTTCTCTCCCCTCAAGTTTGGATGGGATTAGCCTTTCTTCATGACTTCCTTCGCTAAAAATAGGCATTCCCCTCTCTGTGGAGTCGTTCTGGTCAAAGTAAGGAGTTGAGATTAGCGTCCTTCACTTTGTGCGCGAAGTGGCTCTCGCTTTATTTATTTTGCCGAAACGGCAACACCAATGAAATAAAGGCATCACATGTGATTACATCACAGCTTCCATCCATGCAGAGCATTTTCCGTAATGCATGGAATGCTTGCGACCACTGTACGGGTCAGGGTATATTTGCCAGGGAAAGAGGGAAGGCATTGAGCCTAGGGTCGGTCTTATCGTTGGTACTTTTTGCAAAATTTTTACGACCACCCTCCTTCACGACAGATTTCATACGCCCCCTCTTCACAACCCCTTTCCCTCAAAAAACAATGAAACCGCAAAATTTCCTATATTTCCCTTCATTTTTCCTCTTTTTCACATAATCTTCCACTGGTCGCCTTCGGGGAGGGTACGATACACGCTAAAATGGCAAATTTCTTCCCGCCGTCGTCAGCTCACACCTGTATGTCATGCAATCGCGAACAGTACGACCCCCCTCACCACACAAACTTCAAAGAAATATGACCTCCTCCCCGTAAGGTAGCAGTGTAGCAACGTAGGGTGGACCTTGATTGTATAACTTCGTATAATATATATATATATATATATATATATATATATATATATATATATATATATATATATATATATATATATATATATATATATATATATATATATATATATATATATATATATATATATATATATATATATATATATATGTATAGCCCGCGAAAGATATAAATTAAAATTGCAAAAACGAATCTAGCCAAAGACATTACGATGGAAAAATGCCTGCAAATGAGCGCTTGTGGGTGAGGCCAGCTAGCGCTGGAGAGGCTGCGTTGCCGTGGGGTAGTGGTAAGGATCTCGCTCGTAATCAGCAGGTCATGGTATCGAATCCCAATGTGGTGCAAGTTTTTTGCAAATAATGTTTTGTACCCAGCAGAGGGTTGTATTCTAGAACAGAGCTCAGCTCACACGTCTGTCACTTCTACCTCTGCCATTCATCAATAACATAGCGACAACCCTTTCTGTCGTGTCACACGGTCTCTACGTTCTGACAATGTGCTCACTCGGAAAAGTCAAAAACTATGCTCACTTGCAGCCATTTTTGACTGCTCATAACTTCCTCGGCAGATTCGTTTTGCAATTTTGGTTTGCATATTTTTGACTAGTGTCGTAGGCTCTGCCGACATATCTGGCTCTCGATTTCAAAGTTCCACGTGGAGTCTCACTGGTTAGTCTTTTTTCGCTAGTTTTGTGTATATTTTCATAACCAGTTTGATTGGCTCGGAGCTCTAACCATCGTTACAATAGACTTTCATACGTTTTGTTCAGTCTACAGTGAATGAATGAAAGCTATAGTGCTTTTGAAGTACAACCTGAGCGGTTCCTTCTATCAGGTTGTCTCAGTAGTGTCCCTTTTTTCAACAAAAAGTTTTCTTCTAATCCTTATGCTTTTACATCATGTTATATACCATTCGAAAGAGAATTGTCTGCTCTACAAGATGCTATGTTCTTCTTCCACCTCTGTTCCAGGGTTTTCAAATTTTAGGCCTGCGAAATGGGAGGTCCAGCCGACAAAAATTGACCAAACCGACAACTAGCTCTAACTTTATTTTCCCTGGGGAGAAATCAATCAATGATGTACCCTCTACTTACTCATGACCTCTTCTAAACATCCTGCTTAGGATTGCCGACAACGCATACGTGTTTCTTTTGTTGGCTGACGCGCAGACTCATAGCAATTTTGCAATGCTGATTTTCGCGTGACGTATCCTACTATATATAAGCGGCTAGCGTGTGTCTGTTGTGTGTGTGTGTGTGTGTGTGTATGTTTGAACGGAAATTCATAGCTCGAGTCACAGTAACGATAGCGCAGTGGTTCTTACATATGTTATAGGGGGTGGGATGGGGACACAAGTGGTACGTGATAGGAACTGATAACGACTGATAATAGCTGATAAGAGGGGCTAGAAAGCGAGCATCGCCAATTTCGTTTTGCCGTTCATATTGGTAAAAGAGCGTCTATACTTACAAGTCTTATGTGGGGCGGTCCCGGGACATTGGTGGTACATGATTGGAAGCGATAGCAACTGATAATGGCTGATAAGATGCGCTAGAACGCAAAAGTCGTCGATTCCGTTGCCTGGCTCGCGTTGACACCAGAGCAACCATACTTACAAGTGTTATGTGGGGTGGGACGGGGACATTGTTGGTGGGTGCCAGAAACTGATAACGATTGATAAGGGCCGATAAGGCGCGCCAGAACGCTGAAGTCGTCGATTCCGTTGCCTGGCTCGCGTTGACACCAGAGCAACCATACTTACAAGTGTTATGTGGGGTGGGACGGGGACATTGTTGGTGGGTGCCAGAAACTGATAACGATTGATAAGGGCCGATAAGGCGCGCCAGAACGCTGAAGTCGTCGATTCCGTTGCCTGGCTCGCGTTGACACCAGAGCAACCATACTTACAAGTGTTATGTGGGGTGGGACGGGGACATTGTTGGTGGGTGCCAGAAACTGATAACGATTGATAAGGGCCGATAAGGCGCGCCAGAACGCTGAAGTCGTCGATTCCGTTGCCTGGCTCGCGTTGACACCAGAGCAACCATACTTACAAGTGTTATGTGGGGTGGGACGGGGACATTGTTGGTGGGTGCCAGAAACTGATAACGATTGATAAGGGCCGATAAGGCGCGCCAGAACGCTGAAGTCGTCGATTCCGTTGCCTGGCTCGCGTTGACACCAGAGCAACCATACTTACAAGTGTTATGTGGGGTGGGACGGGGACATTGTTGGTGGGTGCCAGAAACTGATAACGATTGATAAGGGCCGATAAGGCGCGCCAGAACGCTGAAGTCGTCGATTCCGTTGCCTGGCTCGCGTTGACACCAGAGCAACCATACTTACAAGTGTTATGTGGGGTGGGACGGGGACATTGTTGGTGGGTGCCAGAAACTGATAACGATTGATAAGGGCCGATAAGGCGCGCCAGAACGCTGAAGTCGTCAATTCCGTTACGCAGCGTTGACACTAGAGCGTTCCTATTTACAAATTGTAGTACGTGCACATTGTTTTCGATATAACCAGCTTACTTAATAGAATTCGACTGCATAAACCTAAACAAGTCTTCAGCAAATGATAAATTTCATTTCTGATGCACTATTAAGAAAACCCAAACTCATTAAACCGCTAATTTCGGGGTTCTAAATAATGGTGAATGTAAATGAATGATAAGCATTAGCTCCTCACTTATGTAAATAGGCATATTTCATTTTGATTTTGAGACTGACAGCAATCCTATTCACCGCTAAATTATCTGAATTCAAGAAGAATGCTGGATGTTTACAGTTGTGATCAATATACCAGTTCAGCTCAGACGTTATCACGCGTATTCTCGATGAGCTTCAGTGAAACTGTGGAGGGTCTAACACAGTCAATAGTGAGATGGTTAATGGAGTATCTCATGCTGATATTCCATGGGTCCTCCAATTTCGCTAAAGCCTGCCGTGTGATGCGCGCGATAGCGGCGAAGCAAACGTTTAGGATAAGGTGTTTTATCCACGAAAGTGACCGCATTTCTTTGAAAAAATTATCCCTGAGAAGATGAGAAAATCAACCAGGCGTACATTCCTAACTTAGTCATGACTTGTTCTTGAAATTCTACTAGTTTTTTCAATGTCTCGGCTATAAAAAAATTTCGACCTCGATCTCAGGTAATGGTGCTCGACCGTCGAGTTCTGGTTGAAAAACCAGGTCTGGAAATGGAACGACGCGACTTGTTGGGAAACCTAATAGTGTAATGTTCAGAAGAGGTCATGTATAAGTAGAGGGTACATCATTGATTGATTTCTCCCAAGGGAAGATAAAGTTAGAGATAGTTGTCGGTTTGGTCAATTTTTGTCGGCTGGACCTCCCATTTCGCAGGCCTAAAATTTGAAAACCTGGAACAGAGGTGGAAGAGGAACATAGCATCTTGTAGAGCAGACAATTCTCTTTCGAATGGTATATGACACGATGTAAAAGCATGGGGATTTAGATGAAAATTTTTTGGTTGAAAAAAGCGACTTATGGTGATGCTTTCAGCTCGTAACGACACAAGCGACAGTATATCGGCCTCTGGACGGAAATCGAACTTCTTCTCAATGGAATTCTATCAACAGTTCTTCGACGTTGAGACCGATCAGGTTTGTTTCGTGGAGCAAATTCCAGATCTAGATTTTTTCGGTAATGTTAGTCATAGTGAATGTGCAAAACTGAGTATTGTGGTGTTTTCCGGTCGCGCGTTGAAAACTGGTTTCGAATCTCTCAAAGGTTTCGGAATTTCTGCAAAAGGCACCTTTTGTTATGTAACAAGAGAACGCGGAGTTAGTTCCCCCTAGTTTTAACATTGGGGCAGCACTATGAATAAACTGGCTCGGTTTTGTAAAGCAGCTTTGGAAGACATAACTCATGACAAAACGGATGATTTTGAAAGTGAAAGATGAGTAGTGGAGATAGCAGAGAAATGTGAACAACTGGTTGCGCTTTCGTGGCAGGAGGACCAATCTTAGCGTTTGAAGATGCCGAAGGTAGTCCTTCCGGTTGTCCTACACGCCCGCCACTGGCACGTAGGAGGTATTATCGTGATCCGCTGTATTTTTAAGAGAAACCGTACCTTCACTATTCCGATATTCGTTCACAACGCGCGCGCTGCTGCATAACTCGCCCATCTTTGCAAAAAAAGGGTCTCATTACATGAGTTTTTTGACCTTTTTTTCTTTACATTCGCACCGTCTGGCAGCGTTGATTTCATATTTTAACGAATGTAGCTCATTAATAGCTACGCCTGGAAGGTGATGAGAGGATTGGCGGCGATTTGCGTTTTTTGGCGTTGTAGTGATGGACGAAATCGTATGTGAGCTTTAAAAGTTGTGCTTGTAGCTACACAGTGTCCTTGATTTGCTTTTGATACGCTCAAAATCTTTTCTTATTTCGCCATTTGTTTTAATCACGTCGAAGTTATTTGTCAAAAGTTCAACAGTTTAGTAGAGCTTGTTTCAGGTTCTCAAGCGAGTATTAAATAGTATAGTGCCAACCAACAGTAACTTCATCTTGGACTATGTGCATCCTATGCCTGACCTATGGGGTATGGTTTTTTCAAGTAGTGGTTTACCGATAAGTTTTAAAGCTTATCCTCTTCGAAGTATTGTTGACGAGGTGTAAAACTGATTTCAATATTCAGGCCCATTTTGGATATCAGTGACTCTGGTGTTTTCAATAGGTGTTTTTGGGAACATTGCGCAATATATTCAGAATGATGGTTCTCCTGGCGAATATGGCAGTGATTTCAGATTAGGTAAGCTTGAATTCAAATTCAAAATTCAACCTAATCTTCCTTCTGTCAATAGAGCGCAGATCAAATAGTGCGAAGCTCGATCAATCTGTGAGTTTTCGTTGGCAAGGGATTTTGCCTGAATAATTTCTGGTGTTTTTTTTTTCGTGAGGGAACAAAGAAGGTTAGGTATTGTTGATCGCTTTC